ATTATTATTATTATATTTTTATAATAATCGATATTTTATGTTAATAAATTGTATCAATTATTCTCGGATCACTATTATTCCATGATAATATAAATACGATAAATGACTTTATCGCACTAGCACATTGCACGGTACTAAAATCACACGATCGACAAATAGTATTTGCATTACTATTACTTGCTATTCTATTGCTCGATCATAGATGAACTCTATTGCGACAACACAATTGCGTTTACGCGAGGATTTGCTACGTGCTGCGCGAGCATCGAGACTTCAGAATAGCGTGCTGCTTGTTACGGGTGCTCTCCGGTTAAAAGTGAATGGGGAACCCGCTCATTCATAAGATTTTCTTCCGAGAGGGGCAGCAAACAGCCGCGTGCGCTCGTTACTTGCCTCAGCGCAGCGCGGAGCAAATGCACTTTATGCAGCGACTGGATATGCAACTAATCACTTTCGACCGCTAAAGCGAGGTATTTCTCGATCGAAGGATGCGAAGCTTGCGAAAAAGGAGTTTGCGAATAAATATTTTATGAGCAATCTCTCATCGCGCTTGACTTTGCACAGAGCAAACAAATTCAGTAAACATTGAAAGGAATATGTAACAGTTTTATCTTGGTAATAATAAATTTTAAAAGTTGTAACGAAATTATTATTATTTAATTTTTTAGTAATTGCAGATATTTTTTATCAACGATTTGTCGTCTACGTTTAACAGAGATTAGAGAGATAATACTCTATTTACAATGTTTTAGAATAATTATATACTTGTGTATATATACGCTCTATGCGACTTCTAAACAAAAATTAAATGTTACATAAAACATATAATGCAGGATTAATTAATATAAATATATAAAAAAAACAAAATAATAAACACTACATAAAAACAGCAGAATTTAACAACCGATTGACATATTTAGAAACTGATTAACAGACTGATTAACTCGCGAACCGGTTTTATCTCGTCAATGCGTATATGCACGAGGCTGCACGACTCGTAAATTCGCGATAATGATCGTCATGTTAAATGCAACAAATCAGTGCTGGAAATAGAGAGAGAGAGAGAGAGAGAGAGAGAGAAAGAAAGAGAAAAAGATTTATCTCTCGAAGGAGAACACGCGGCCCTTATGCGATTTGTTAAAGGTTTAATATCGTTAACACGACGATAATGTGGTCGAAAACATTTCTCTCGTTAAATCTCGGTCTCTCGTTCGCTCTCGACGCCGACCAGCAATGATTGCAACATTGCAAACGTCGCGATTAATGAACGGCTGTCATCGCATCGCCGGAAAATCAGTTGCACGTATCGCGAGCTATATGTGCTGTCGAGATGCGTTCGCCGAGAGACGTGCGCTCTCGCGCATCGGATTAAGTTGGATTTCAGCGCATACATACATTCTGATATTCCGATGACAGCATGATCCTTAGAGCAATCAGCAAGCATGTAATTTTTGCGAAGGGGAATTAACCGTGCCGCTAGTTTTGTCAGGTACATACGCGAATTGCCCCAGGAGGAGAAATTATAATGTCAGAAGCGTATGGTTTTACACTGATTTTGAACCGAATTTTCAAAGTTTCTCTCATTTACCAATCTCGTTTGATCATGTTGAAATTTGTAGAGTTGACGTTTCTTTACCGATCTTTATCTTTATATGTAGTATCTTTTTTTCGCGAGTTTTTTTCGATATTCGACTTAAAGTAGATAGCTCGCACGCGATATGGAAATTGTGGAAATTGCGCTCTTCGGGAAAGAAGTAGAAAAAGGAATAGAGACGAAAGACGTATGGAAAGAAAGGAGAAAGAGAGAAAGAGGGGAGAGGGCAATAAGTCCGGCCGAGGCGGTAGGTGATCAATCTCGGCGCGCTCGAAGGGAACTTTACGGGCCGGCGCGTAATGATAAACGACTTGGGAGTCGGTGTGTTCCGGACATTATCGGACCGCGCGTAGTCGAGATATCGCGTTTCTCGTTGCGAACACCGTGGTCCATGGGCGACCATGCGCGAAACGGATTTGCATTCGCGCGGGCGTAGTCGGACCGATCGGACCCGTCGTCGTCGTCGTCGTCGTCGTGGTCGTCGGGAACAGGTTCATTCCGTTGGCGCGCGAAATGAATGAAATCGTTAGGCGTTACGACACGCCGACGTTCTGCGCTCCGGATCGTTTTATCGGTCCGACTATCTGCGCGCGCGCGCCCGAACGCAATTATGCGTCTCGTAACAACTCGATGCGTGTGCGCGCGCGAGAGGGAACAGGCGCCGGCTTACGCATCCGGTTTCCCGGATATATATAGAGTGTCCATTCGGGATAATTGTCATATTGTCCGTTAAATGAGGAAAACCGCAATATATATCTCTTTTGAGATATTGAAATTAAAAAGTTATTTTTC